ATGTGAGGTTTGGAAATCCTTTACAAAGGAATTGGCTCTGCAATGTCATTGTATTGTCTGCTGTTTAAAAGATTGCTAGGGACGTGCAAGTGTCACTAGAGCCCAGAGACAGTCTGAGATCAGCCCCTGCAACTTGCCTATGCATATGTGTCTTGCTTTTACATCAGTAACATTTCCCTGGAGAAATGTTAGGGCTAATCCATGTTCCGTGTTGTATCATGTGGATCAGCAGTGCAGGAGTAGAAGTATCTTTTATTGCAATATCTAAACATAGTTCCTAGCACGGATAGAGGGACACTGACAAAAATGAGTCTCTAAAATTATTTTCAGTTGTGTGATAGGTCCATTCTGGTACTTGCTGCTAGCCACAATAGTCTCCTGCCTTGAGGTTGCAACACAGTTTCTTCCAATCAAGAAAAAAGAAAACAAAAAACCCACAGAGCTGAGATTCTAACTCTATCCCAAGGGCAGGATATTCTATGCTTAAACCATCCTAGACCCCTCTCTGAACAGCCTCCAGCAATGGAGGAGATTCTGCCTCCTCCCTGAGGAACTTATCTCAGGGCTCAAAGTACTGCTAGGAGCTCCTCCCCAACAGTCAACCTGAATCACTTTTGAAGCAACTACAGACCATTATTATTTGTTTCTTCCACAGTAATATGGGAAAAGGAAGCTCTCTGTAGTATGCTTTGAGTTACAAGTTTCTATCACATCTTCTTACAACCTTTTCTAGACTAAACTACAGCCTGTTTCAAACTTTTCTTACACCTTGCTCCCTTTGAAGAAATCAGGGTCAAGCAAAGCTACAAACACCCATCCTCCCTTGAGGTACTGTTTTGCTTTCCTGCAGACTTTTGCAAGTGATAGCAGCTGCTCTCACACACAGAAATCCTGCAATAAGTTTTAATAACACAACAAAGAAAAAAAACAAACCCACACTGATGAACATGGGAGACTCCTCCCTTGTTAAGTGCTGCCGCCCAGGTAATTAGGATGCTTACAGATTATAAAGCAGCCATTTCCCACTCTGCTGGAGTTATAGTGACATACTTTTTCTAGTAGGCCTAGGTAAGTCTGCTACTGCTTGTACTGGTAGTTGCCTTTTGTAGGTGTTTAGTAAGAAAGGTGAAGTATCTGTGTTTTGTTATAGGACAGCCTATTCCAGTAGCATACAGGGTGAGCGGTCTCCTCATCTGACCTAGAGATTTTCCTAAGCTGGGTACCTCACTGTGAAGTTGTTAAGGTGGCTTTCAGCTGCCTGCATTATTGGGTGTAGGTTAAGTTTATTCTCTCCCTGTTGTTGCAGACAGATGTTTAGTATTCACTGAGCTCTTTCTCATATGCCAACATGAGCAGTAATGGGAGAAGTTGGTGGAGAAAAGTAGTGTCTAGCTTTGTCCCTGCAGGTGTAGTATAATTCTAGATGAATTTATATTTTAGGGTATTTATCTTTATAAAGACTGTGCTGAGGATATGGAAATCAAAGCATGGAGGAAGATGTAAAAAGAAGCATTAGTAGCTATGTATGGGTAGATTAACATGTGAGTGGTTATGGATTGGCCCAGCTCTGAAAGCTAATTATTAGACTTGTCATCACCTTCTTTTCCATAATTATGTACCAATTGTTTCACAGACCTTAAATAGCCAGGTAGGCAGTGCTCATCTGTATTTCATTGTCCCTTAGCTGTTGTCTTGTGGTAACTGTTTCCAGCAGTGGTTGTCCTTTATACTTTGCTCATTATTTGTGGTTTTGTACTTTATCTCTCCAGTAGCTATATATTAGTAGCTAAGTCATCTTCCTGCAGGCTGAACTTGTCAGTCAGCAAGTTCAGGTAACAGAATGAGCAGAGGAAAGGGTTTGAATAGGGGTAAGGTATGAATTTGAGGTTAAGGAAAGATGCAGCAAAGGGCTGAATGGGATGCATTGGATTGCAGCTCTGAGTCCAGGGACCTCTGAAGTGGCAGGAAAAACCACACACCTTATAGTAATGCTTGTATTAAACTATACTTACTTTTCTGCAGAAGCAAGTGAAAAAGACAAAGATCTGTATCTGACCTTCAGATACTCTCAAACCTGTTGTTTAATGCCAGGGTTTCTACTGAGATGATGCCCTAGGCCAGCAAGAATTATGCTGAGATTGGTCTAGGCAAAGCTTTTATCTGAGGTTTTGCTTGATGTCTTAGGGCTAATGCTTTGTTTACTAACAATGAAGACCTGAAATATACTTAGAAATGAACCTGCCTCTCAAGTCTTCCGTCTTCCTTTACAAACAGACCCAGGCACAGAAGCAAGGAGTGATCTTTACATTCTAAGTAAACAAGTGGCCTTGGCAGCTGCATGTAAAACTCCCACTATCAAAATATATTTTGTTGTATGCAAAGAAATAGGATTTTGTGGATGCTAGTTTCTAGACATTCAAGCCAAATTAACTTGAGATTGTGTTTGGTGGGGCTATTGAAAAGTAGGAAGTTGGCCCTTGCAAGATGCTAAGCCCTGAGATGCGGTTTTGCTGAGGGAAGCACAGGATCAGGTTGCCTTGAGTTTCTGTGGCTATGATTGCACAAAATGAATGAGCAATTGTCCTATTAAGTAACCCAGCAAACTTAATTAGTGTTTAATCTTCCTTCTGTCGCCATATTCGCGTTGTACTCCAGGTAATCAGGTAGTGCAGGGCTTGTTACTTGTTTGCAAAATTTGGAAATGGGAAGGAATTTCTTTGCTGCTTGACACATAAGCTGGTATCTAGGGGTTTTAGTTGCTTTCTTCGAAGCGTTGGAGACTGGCCACAGCTAAAGCTGGGAGATGATGGGTATTGCTAATAGCATTAAGTCCCTCTGGCCCCTGACTGCTTTGCTTTCATATATGCAAGGTTAAACCATTCACCAGATTTAAATTCAGGAAGGAATTTACCCCAGGGTAGCCTGGAACCATGGTGAGTGGTTTTGTCCTTCTCTGTCCTTTCAACTTGTTTCCATAGGAGGCCTTCAGTATAATGAATCCCCTGCCGTGAAGGGCCCAGGGAGTGATCTCTTCTGCTCCTTTTTTGCAGTGTCGGCTCCTTTATCACAGGCCTTAAGTTTGCAGCTGCGCTAGGAATGTTCTTGTGTAGGGTACACCCTAAAGATTCTTCCAGACTAAATATTTAGTATGTGTTTCCATGTTTTGTTCTGCCTAGGTTCTTACAAGCTCTAACAGCCAGTGAAGTTTCATGGATGGGTGTTAAGGCTTAGAGCTGCCCTTCTCCTCTGCTGTCATTTAGGTTAGTTATGCTAGAGCTAGCATGTGTAGGTTTAAAGACACCAGTTGTTACTGCACAGGATTGAATCGACCTATTCTCCTTCCCCGACCAAACTGACTTTTCACTCAAAGGAAGCAATTCCTTACAGTCCACCATCTTATTGCCAGTGATCAGTGAAGTTGCCAGACTTGCACTTCAAATCATTTTGCTTTAGTTAAGGTGTTTAATGAATGATTTCACTATGTTGCAGTGCTTAGCAGATCTGGACCTGCAGAGTGACTCCTGAAAGCAATCAGTGTGTCAGGGAAAAAAGCCAACATGGCAGCAACCAAAGTTTAAGGATGTGTAGGTGTTGCTAGTCTCTGGTGATCTGTCTGAACTTAATTCCCTCTCAGCTGACAGAGTAACATTGTCCTGAGAACACCTGCTATAGCAAATTGGGGGCCTAATTCCCCTTGGTTTCAGGAAGAATGCAAATGAAGGGGAGTAACCAAAGGTAAATTGTCTTAGGAAAACTCCAACTGCTGCTACAGGTGGGATTCTTGCAAAAAGTTAGCACCGTGGCCTCCTAGAAGTTAAATGTTTGCTGCAGCTCAGGTCCTGCTTCTGAGTGGGATGTGGAAATAAGGCTGTGTCCTTGTGAATCCTGCAGGGACTCTGCTAGCCTAACTGCTGATGCTGAAAGGGTATAGAGAACTGAATGATGGCTAGTGTTGTAAAACTTGAAAGCAGAGTTTTAAAAATCCTGCAGTGCTATGTAAAGAGTGCTGTTAAAGCTTAGTGTGAGACTCGTGGGGGCCCACTTGCACGCTGAAGTGGTTGTAGACTCTTAACATAATGGGTCTCTTTTCTGGTTTCTGACCTCAAACCCTAGGGAAAGTTGCTGCTTCTCTGTGCTGCAGAGGGTCGGCATGAGTTCGTGTCCGCAAGCAGTGTGAGGTCCTGGCTACACAAAAGAGCATAGTGTAGGCCCTGAGCTGCAAAGAAGAGCAATGCAGTCCTATGCAGAACTCTGGACTTAATGCCAAATGGCAGCAGGACCAGGGCTGGTTTTTTTCATCATGAAGTGAGTAAGTAACTGAAAGATTTATTTTTATATCTGTAGCATTAGAAATAGTCATTGACAAAAATAATTCTTATCAACAAAGATGGTAAATACTGTAAATGCTTTGATTTGTCCTAAGTGATCTAGTGTCACTGCTGCAGGTTTGGTATGCAGTACCTCCATGATGATACTGTGGCTGTGAATTTGCCAGTCTGTTCACAGGAGAGAGAATTCTGAGAAGGATAGTGCTTTTATGGGGCCATTCAAGATATAAGGTATACCTTGTAATAAATTAAAGCATGGAGTTGGTCCCATGGCCTCAGTTACAGGTGGATTTATGGATTTTCATTATCATAAAGTGTATTTAATTTTCTTCCTCTAAGGTCTTAAATAATGTTTTTCTTCAAAGATGCCATTTTTAAATTGATCAGAGATTGCAGATAAAAATTCAGCTTGGCAATTTAGATGCAGGTTATCTTTGGGCTTGGGTGTTACCAGCTCATCTCCACTAACTCAGGGAAATTACTTCTGTCAGTAAAGCAAGCACAGGCTCTGAACCCACTGTAGTCAACAGACTTTGACTCTTCTGGGCTTTAAATCAAAGGGTAAAAGCATTGCAAAAAATGAGAGCATAATCCATGTAGGCTCCAAAACTCCTTGGCCTTAACAAAGTCGTAATGGTGTAATCATTGATGTGTAGCTTAGGAAAGCGCTGGTTAGGAAGTATCCACTGTTGTTTGGAAGGATCCAACTTTGGCAGTCGTGGCACACAGTTGGTGAATTGCCTGTACTTGCCAGGCTTCAGGAGGTAATGCTGTCCTTGGAAGTGCAGGCAAACCCAGCTTCCTTCAAGTACATTAGAGGACTGGATGTCCCTGTAATGAAAGTCCTTCTGGAGAGATGGGCAGTTATCCATGAAGTCGTTCCTGTCAGATCTGTAGCTAGCTGTGCTCCTGGAGCTGCAAAGGCAAATCCAGACATGGATGCTCAGAATATCAAATGTCAGTTCTAGGTGACTACAGCTTGTTAGCTGCAATACTGATGCTAACAACACAATGGTGAATAGCTGAAAAGTATGTGCTGAAAAGTAAGTTTAACAGGAGTAAATCCGATTGGGTCCTAATTTGAAGCGGGTGTGCTGCAAGTCCTTTCTGCTCCAGGGAGAGCAGAACTGCAGTTGCTTTGAAAGAGTTGCAGCAGGGCAGGAAGCAAAGTGAGGTCCAGCCAAGATCACCACACTTAGCTGTACATGCAGGTAAGAAATAAACTCCGTGATATACCTGGATTGCCACACAGTCATGTGCCCTCACTGTTCCCAGGTGTTGATGTAATAACTGGATAAGGCTTTGGCTGGGAAAGACAGGAGCTTTTTCTAATCTTTTTGTTGCACAGCTTAGGAGGGCAAGTTTTTTTGGTTGGTTGGTTTTTTCTAATCTACTAAAATTATAAACTGTTTCAAGACTGCCTCTTGACTCTTGTATCTAGCACAGCAAAGACTTGATACAGAAAATTACTTTCTGCTCGTGCATCAATGCTCAGCAAGGTTTTTGCAGATGCTCAAATGCAGTTGTGTATACACAGGAGTACTGCTGCTGTGCAAAGACCAACCCCACACAACCAGACCCAAGAACACTTGGGTATCTACATCAGGGGAACCAAACTTTCTGGACACTCTTGTTCTGAATCTGGGAAGCATGCAGAAATGTGTCCTAATTTTAGGATTTTTTTTTCTATCCCCACACTAATTCTGTTTCTCTGCTCCTCAAATACTTTCTGTCAGCCTCCCAGGTCAGCTTCCCTTCAGTCATCTTGTTCCTACCCTCCTCGTCTGTGGCTCCTTTCCCTCTGCAGCTTCAAAGGACGCAAGAGCGTTGGCACTAGCTTTCAGCACTTGGACCCAGAACTTCACTCAGCTAAGTGAAGCCCAGAACTGCATGTCAGTTAAAAAAATAGCTGCATTATCCTATGCAGATGGAATGTTTCTGGAAACTTGCTGTGATGGTTTATGAAGCTTCTACTGAACAGGGAAACTGAGTTGTACATAAAGCTTACATCATGGATGAACTTAATTTTTTGTCAACATTGGAGGGACACACTCCAGTATTAAGGCTATTCCTGGGCCAAATCCTTGGCCTTATGTGTGAGTAGTGAAATCTTTCACATCTTGGCAACCTCTCCCCCTCTTAGTAAAACTCTTCCAGGGAATGAGTCTAGGAGGGGAAAAAAACACAGATCTATTCTGGGCTGAAGTATTCTGAAAAAAATCTGTTATGAAGCAAATATGCTGTCACTTGCAGCCCAAATACATGGTAGTGTCTCTACAGTGGGATGTGTCAGGCTGCTTCTGTGGTAGTGTAGTCACCAGTTTTGCCTGCCTTGAAAGAAGAGCATTGAGTGGGCTATGGGCAATGTGGTTTGGTTCTCAGCTCTGTACTAAACTTCCTTGTGTAGATCATGTATAGCCAGAGTGGTTTTAGAAGACTGGTGAAGTTAAATGCTTTTATATATACAAAATAATAGATAAACATAATATTAAGATAAAAATAAAAGAAACTTTCCACCTACTTCAGCACTAACCAACCGTTCATTTGGCTGAGAATCCAAATTGACTCATCTACCTCTTTGGGAGTCTAAACACCATTAGGTGAACTTGGTAAGTGTCCTTTCTACTCCCCTCCTTGTACATAGAGCTCTCTGGAAAAGTTGTTGCTTGTGCCAGAGCAGTTGAAATGGGCTGTAGTGCTCTGATTCTCATATAGGCAATAACATACATGGAGACACTATGGAGAACTTACTGCTGTGATGATACAAGACCTGATGAGTCACTGAAGCCCATCCAGTGCTGGTAGTCAGGATGTTCTCACTTCCTCAGGAAGTACCGATGGCCCATGTAGTTGGGAAGTTCATAGGTCATCCAGCAGCTAGTTTCCACCAGTTGAGGTGGGCATGCAGGTCTGGCTGGTCTGTGGTGGTATAGCAGGAGCAGCCCTCAAAGTGATCTGCAATAAACCAAAATAACATCAGTGACACTGATAACCATTTGAAAGCTGGCTTTGTTTTGCCTAGATTGCACAAAACATTGCAAAGACTGCTATTGCACACAGGGACACCTCTACTAGGCACAAAGATTAGCAAAGCCCTTCTGTCCATTTTATATAAGGTACACACATTTACTGGTGTCTTCATCTCTCTAGTACTACCAATGACAGGCAGTTGACACTTTAGGACTCTGGGAAGTGGGGGGCAAATCTCAGCATGATTTCATGCTGGAAATAGCCTGTCAGAAACTTTATGACAATTTTTTGGGAGTATTTGAAGAAAGTGAAACCCAAATTGCTCTTTGACTGAAAGCTCCATGGGTGACTTCTGTGTATCACATGATCATTCAACTTTGTGCCCATCTCCTGCACCTGGGCTCCTAGAAATCTTCTGCAATGTAGAATACAGACAAAGGAAAGAATAATTCTCCTATGTCTGAATTATGTGGAAGTTTCCACCTCTCTTAATGATAATGGAACAAAACAAGACTGTTGTCTTAACCTGAGCTAATCATTGAGCACTCTGTCCTGTTGAGCAGCTTTATCTTAGCAGCAGTAAAATCAGGTTAGAGATATTTAAATTCAGCGGCATTGTTTGGTGATATTTATTATGCTTGTTTGGAATAGAGTACTTTGACCTTATTTTCCTGTACATCTTAGGAGTCTAACAATTTATAAACTTTAGGTCTCCTTCAGCAGTTGGCAAACTCAAAAGGAAAGTATCCAAACAGAAAAATAAACCCAAGATTTTTATGTGTAAAAATTTTAGCATTTCAAAGCTTCCAAGTATACTATAGGCTTTATTTAAAAAAAACTGATCAAAGAGCTAAATAATAAAACAGACACTAAAGGTTTCCCCTCTGTTTGCAAACACTCTTGCCCACAAGGAGCTATGCATGTACTAGGTTGTTTGTCAGCTCTCTATTCACTTGGCTGTTCTTTGCCATTTTTGCTGAGGTTTAGCTGTGAGACCTCAACATGCAGGAGGAGTCAGGAGTCTCTTGTGTGAAATGCCCAGGAAATAGAATAAAAGTTAAGTTTTTGCTCAGTAAAGAGAATGAATGTGGCTTTCCTTCCCTCTCTCCATTGTCATTCTCTAAAGAAAAGGCAATCACAGTAGTTTTTTGGGGTACAGACTTCATTGCTGTCAGAAAACAGAGGATCAGAGTATAGGGTAGGTCAATCAATATTTCTGTTCTTTTATGGATGGCATATGTGCAAGCAGAAGTGCTGGAAATGCTGCAGCAGGATTCTTTCATGTTGCTTTATTTTTACTCTCTCTTCCCTGATTATATGAGACAAAGGTGTTTTAATGTATGTGGATTCCCAGTGATGACATTGTGAAATGGTTTTCACAGTAAATAAAAACTGTCCTGTTTTTCAAGAGCCTTCAGTTCAGGTATTGCTGCTTGTTTCCTTTAACAGTAAGAGAACATTTATGTGAGAGAAAATGATGTAATGAAAAACATGCGGTAATGGACATTTACATCCATCCAGGCTTTGCTGCTGAAATTCTATATTAACGTAATTCAGAGTTCATCAATGAAGATATTAGAAGTTGAAGGATGGGTGCCACTTACTTAAGGCAGAGAAGAGCCTTAAATCTTCACAGAGAAATGTTTCATTTGAGAGGCAGGGAGATTTTTGGAGCTTCGGTATGAGACACTGAGGCAAAATGCAACAGCATAGATTTTCTTCAGATGAAGAAACTTTACTTGCATTTGAACTTAAAACACAACTCAGTTTTAAGTTCTCTTGTCCTATTGCTTGTCACCTGGGAAAAGACTGACATGCACCTTGCTGCAACCTCCTTTCAGGTAGGTGTAGACAGTGACAAGGTCTCCCTGAGTCTCTCCTCCAGGCTAAACAATGCCAGTTCTCTCAGCTGCCTCTCGTAAGACTTGTTCTATAGACCCTTCAACAGGTTCATTGCCCTCTTTGGGCACAATCCAGCACCTCAGTGTCTGTTCATTCTTGCCTTTGACCAGAGGAATGCCAGCATGTAACCTACACATCACAACACAGCCATATTTCTCTGTTGCACTAATTGAACTAGATGCTTTGCTGGAGTATATAGGCATATGTTAATTGCTGTCTGGGGAGCTGGTCTGTTCTGTCTTTATTTTATTCTTGCTGAAGGTAAATGAAATGTTTTGGTTCCCTGGTCTTAACAGGCAAGTAGATACTGTTCTTGAACTGCTGTGTTATTTTGCAAACCTGGGTTACTTGCAAACCTAAGCACGCTGACACACACAACTCACACTTTGCAGTTCCTATAAATGCACAATACCAGGCATTTGTGAACAAGAGGTAACAGTTTTTCACACCTCTGCCTTGAGAGCCGAATTGTTCATGCTCCATTGCTCTCTAGCTGAAGTGTGGTGTTCTTACGGACACCAGACATTTGCAGCAGTTGAACAGCTTATTTGTGCAGTAAAGGACAGGCAGGCAGAGATAGTGTCCCATGTGCAAAAGAAAGGATGAGAAGGGCAAAGAATAGTTCTGTTTTCCTCTCAGGTATTGTTAGGGAAAGGCCAGTGAGGATTGCTAAGAGGCTATTACTGATGGGTCATGTGAGTGTGAAATAACGTCTAAATGAGGTCTCTGACATTACCAAGTGGAGATGTGTTTTAAGCAGTCTACCTCACTGCTGTAGAAATTGCTTGGTTTTATGAAAGGACTCCATTATCAGAATGTTTACTAGGCATATCTAGACTCCACTACCTAAATGCAAGAGGTATGTTAAGATGTGAGATCCCTTAACTGTGCTTTGTTATATTTAGTTGTGGCTCTTGTTCATTATTGCACAGAGTGCCTGCTGGCACAGGATTCAGTGATGATTACTAGGCATATACAAAATTACTTGAATGATAATTAATGCTGCAATTGAGTTTTTCCAGCACAACAAGATGTTGTCCTGTTTCTAATCCACACTGGTATGCTTACTTAATTTCTTTTACATGCAGAATAGCCTGGCAGTTGAGGGGTTTGGCTCAGTCTCCTGCTGCAGCAGATCAGTACAGCTCTGAAATTAGTAGAGGCAGAGAAATTAACACCAGCTACACATCTAATCAATGAAGTACAGGTTCACTAAAACATGCTATATAAAGGTGCTGTGATTTAAGGATCTGGAAAAATTCTGGAGGAATCAGCTGAGCTGAGGCTGGAAAGCTTTCCTAGACTGGTGGTGGCATGGCAGTTTGTTTGTGTGAAGAATTTAACGCCAAATACAGTGTTCACCTTGTTCTGAGTTCCTCTGCATCTTTCTGTCCTTTTCCTCCTTGGTCAGTATTTCACTGCATATAAAACTACTAATGGGTCTTACTTTTCTATTCCACAGTACATGATAATTTAAATCACTGTTAAAGGTCTGACTACATATTGTTAAACCTCTTAAGTATAGAGCTGAAATCTATTCCTACATCAAAACTTGTAAAACTGGGGAAAACTTAGATGAAAGAATCAGACCTTCCCAGTAATAGCTATATCCAATGAAGTAACGACCGAGGAGCTCTACACTTACTAGGGTTAGCAATCTGCACTTGGACATTTAACAGTTATTTAAATTACCATGTACTGTGGAACAGCTGGATAATTGTATTTTTTAAAGTATTCCCCCTCTCCCCCTACAATGCAAGAGAAATCGGATTTCCCACTGGACCACACAACTTTTAATTTGTTTGTAGTTTTGAAGGAAGATTCGTTTTGAACAAGGATTTTGGAATGCATTCACTGTTTATTTAGCGTGGGAGTAATAACTCAGTACAGGTCAGCCAGCCTCTGAAAAGAGATAATTTTGGCATTTACTGCACTCCAGGCAAGGAATCTTCTTTGTTCCAGTAAATACTGTTGGGCTTTTCATACAAGATCTAAGAGCCATCTAAAACATTGAAGGAGCAGATCTCAGGGAGGTGGACGTACTCTGGGACTGATGTGCAATCACCAGTGAGCTCCAACATTTGGCCTTGGACCTCCTCTTTTTCATAGAGCTACACCTTATGGGAAACAGAATTCTGCAGAGGCAAACGGCGAAAATACAGGAAAGAGAGATTTAATTTATTCTGACATGACTGAACAAGACAGACATACAGAAAAAGGCAACTTCCCCAGCTACTACGTGCATTTCTGAGAAGTATGTTCTATTCTGGTGACAGGATTGCAAAGAGATTCACTCTTCTGAAGGTAACAGAGGAGGTTTAATTCTTACCAACATGGAGGAGTTCAGGAGTGCCAGCAAATGAGTATGATTACATGAGCGGTAGGAAGTAAGTGGAGGATGCTTTATGATTTGAAGAAATGGGATTTATAAGAACTCTATATTGTGACAACAGAGAAAACATATTCGTGTGACTTTGAGATGACATGTGGCACTTATTTTTGTGACCAGGCATGAATAATGTGGCTTTTTCAGAATTATGTTACTTGAAGACATTTACCGTGTTACTCCATACGCTCCCATCATACACCTGTGTACAGGCAATTGCCATGTTGCCAACGGCTGAGCCATGTGAGCACGGGCACGTGGAGTGTTCCTGCTGCTATGGCTGGTACTGTACAGTATATCGTACTAACCAGAAAAGTACTTTAGCAAGTATTAATTCTTTGCCTGATTTTAACCAACCCAACTTTTATGTTAGAAAAGCCATACCCCTTGTACATGTGATTTAACATATTCTTGCATCATTGAATCCTAACATAGTACGGTCATGAGCAAGCCAGATACGTCAGCCTACAGCAGACCTTGGTATCAGCTGGCCCTGCTAGCCCTTCCCTAGACAATGTGAACACAGTCTCTGCTTAGAAACAGACACTCAGCTTTCTTGCAGCATCTCAAAGTTATGAACAGGTGGTAGAAATGGCACAGATTTTCTTTAATCTCCAGTGAAACTTTGCATTGCCTTACTGAACTTTGGCTGTCTCGCAAGTTACTTGATGAGACTGTGTAACTATATTATTAAAGG